TAAAAATAAATTTGCTAGTTGACTATCCTCAATAAATACAGTATGGTTTTAAATTTGTATATATATATTTTCATATATGATCATATTGACCAGAAGCTAAGATTAAATTGACAATATTAGCTGAGAAACTGTGTATAAACAAGAAGATTGAAATTCCCATACAGTATTACCCATAGTAATTGCTGTAGAACAGGGTAGGCCTAAAAATGTGTTAGAGGGCCAAAGTGAATTTCTGATTTAACACTGAGGGCCACACTTCAATATATTTGATTTTCGAATTATTGGGTTTCTAAAAACCTTCATGGATTGCTTTTTTACCACTTTATGTTCAGTTCTATTATTACTTTAATGTTTGGTGTTGAACCGTAAAAAAAAGAAGGGAATTGGTTGGCAGGCCACAAACAGGGCTTTCAATTTATTTCGGCAGGCCGCAAAAAAACAAATCATTCGGGTCGCATGTGGCTCACGAGCCACACTTAGCCCACTTGTGCTGTAGAAAGTACTATCCACTTTCTGTAGCAGGCAATTGCCTTGATAGCAAAATGTTGCTAACAATTCCTAGAAAATGTAATGTACACAATATGGAATGAATATTGTAAATAAAGACCTGAAACCCACCTGCTGAACATTGTAATACAATAACCTGAAACTCACTAGCTGACAACTGCATGAACTTTTGGTAGAGAAAGACAGACTGCAGTAGATCACTAGCCAGCTATTCAGTTTTCATAAAGTGGAAATACTTCATCAACTACCATAGTCGAGAAGCAATTTCCTCAATCAACTTGTTTACTCTTGTACATTCATGCCATAAAATAATCTGTGTGTATTACTAAGCTTCGCAATGAGAGTTTAGCCTATGAAGACCTTGTGTGTTTTGTTGGTCTTTTTGAAGGGACTGCTACTTTTAAAGTGATTAAGTTTATAATTGTTTGATCTTCGACCTTTTGTGCATAAAACCAAATAATTAAAATAAACAAATACAATTAATGTAATGCTATACAAAGCCCACAGCAATTGGCAACAATGAATAAATAAAATGATATTTCAACTAGTAAATTCTAGCTTATGGATTTTTTTAAGAGATTAGCAAGAATAAATCACATTCAGGATCTGAGCATTACAGTAGCTTAATTTCTATAAACAAACGAAGTTAGTCTCTAGTTCCTGAAAATCAAACTAATTGTTGAAACCAGGTCAAGGTCAAAGGCAACATACAGATTTCCAAGCGAAAATGACAAAAGCAAAGACAAGCCAAACCAGTCAGTTTTTGCAAAAAAAAATATATTTTTTTAGTTATTAATACTGAGATTAAAAATTAAAATGAAAGATATGAAATGGTAAAAGAATTATTTAAATCCAGTATTTTGCTATGAAGTTACAGTAACATACAGCTGTTTAAAGAACAGTATATGATTTGAGGGTAGCTTTCAAAATGTATGATTTCAGACATTTTATAGGCAAAGACCATTATCAAATTGTTAGAAAAAAAATGTTGATTTAATTTCAAAAATGGGGAAAATAATAACATAGCATGATGTATAGCTAGGTTACTTTAGTGCATAAACACAATCTAGTAACATTTCTTTTTGAAAGAAAAAAAAAAAACCTTTCGTTCAAAACAAATTTTCACTTAAACATTCTAAATTTAGCATCAAAATTGATAAATTCAAGGTTTCACCCTTTCAATTAACAAATTTAAATGGTAAGCTTCTTTAAAATATTCTATTGGCCTTAGGGCAATATTTTTTTTTCTTTTTATTTGAGGAAGGGGGTGTAATTTTCTTAATGCATACATAGGAAGTGCACAGGGTGAAGGTAAAAAGTGCTCTTATTTACAGCCCTGATTTTCATGAATTTCAAAACAACCTTACATTATATACCCTGTAGTTCTACTTGAAAATGATTAACAACTGAACAACAGTAATAACATTTTACCAGAGACAAGTTGTCGTCATAAGGTCTATCGTGAAGACCGACTTTGACAGTTAATGTCCGCTAATGTCAAAGGACGCGCCGTAGCATAACAAGATCACCTGTGTGCAAAGTAATGCAGTGCATCTATTCCGCTTACAATAGGCATACATATACTTCTTGTTTTTTGTATTTGTACTGTACTCTTTTGGGTGGATAACAGCCCTTGAATTGCTTACATAGCAATAAAAATTCAATTGAAAAAAAAAATTGATGCGCTTGCAAAACAAATGAATATCGATCCCTATATATCTTATTAGCTACAGACATAATAACCATTCCTAATATCTGTTTCACTATAGACACTTTACACTCAACATTGAAGTAAAGTATCCTTCAAGCTGTGAACAACATCAAGGCATTTAGAACATTCTGACACTGACTTGAAATTGTGAGATATTTGTACCGGTATTAAGGAACTTTTTGGGAAATCAGTATACATGGGGCCTAGGCTGGTGCAAAAATTAAGAATGCCAACTATAACTGTAAATCCCTATCTCAACAGAAAATTACTGGTCATTTTAAGCCACAGTAGTACAAATTTACTGCCATTGGGAGGGGTATATTTGTTTTGGACAGCCTAGCCCAGAGTTTTATTCAGAAATTCGTCATACTTGGCCACAATGTTCCATTAACTAAAATCTAGAAGTGATTAATTTTTAAAGGTCAGGGTCAAAGGTCAAGGTCAATCAACAAAAAACTTTTTTACACTTATTTGTCTAGTTCATAGTTTTAATCAAATTTACTGCCATTGGGAGGGGTAAACCTACCTCTCTCTTCCCCCTCCCCTCCCCCAGCCTGAATTCATGGTATAAATTCATTCTTTTATAACATTGGGGGATTATTACACCTAATTTTTAGGAATATTTTTATTTTATCAAAGTCTGTCTGCTTCGTCAACATCAAGTACGAATTTTTTTAGCTAAAGCAGCTTTCAATAAAATGATTCATTAAATTAATGAAAGAATAACTTTGTACTAAAATTTATTAAAACCTACCAAAGAAAATAACTCAAAATCTTATAACCAAAGTTAGGGAGCGTCGCCAAATTATCCTACCGCGGTAAAGGAGATTTTCCTGCGGTAGCAAGGCTAACTGCGGTAATCAGCTATAGCAAGATTTACTCAATGGAGTGTGTCTTGACTACCGCGAGCTACCGCGAGCATGGAGTATTAATTATCTAATGCCCAAGGCAAGGTTTTTCCAATTACTCTATGCAGCTCAGTCAGCTGAGAAAGTTACCGCGAAATACCGCGGTAGCTCGGAAATACTAGCCTAGGCCAGAAATGAAATAAATTTGAAAGAACTTTGATTAAAAGAAGCTAATTAATAAATAATCAAAAATTAAGGAGATGCAATAGGTCTAGATAAGAAATAGTAAAGGGAAAATACTTACATATAACGCCAACGGCCTCCTACACAGTAATACAAACAGT